CGAACGATTATTTATCAATATTATTTACAACATGATATTACATATTATATAATAATATTGTATTATATATTAATTATATATTATTAAAACCAGCTTACAAAACTAGGGTCATTTTTGGTGCCATTTAAAGGTATTAACTTCTGAGGGTTAAGGAAACTCCTTTCAACTATTTAACTATCATGGACTTGCCAAATAGGTCCCCTCATCAGATTCAATATTTATTTATTTCCCAAAAAGGAAAAAAAACAGACAGTAAAAAAAGCTAAATAAAAATGTAAAGTGACAGTATGATCAAATGCGCATAAAGGGGAAAAATACAAATACAAAGTCAATAAATTAACTAAACTATCCTAAGTCCACCTTCCCCCACAAAAAAAACTCCTTCTAAATAATAAAAAAGAAAGAGCAAATTTAACTTAAGAAGATGAAAGAGTAAAATTGATCTGCATATCTATAGATATAAATATTAACATATAAGTCAAATATTTCCTGATATATAATATTCTGAATCACATCCATAATAGGTGATACCAAAGGGTACCAATTGAGATAAATGTAAAGAAGCTGGAGAAGTGAAATACGCATTCATGTGAATTTATGAGGGCTGCTGCAGGTAATGAGAACTTGCTATTAAACAAAGTGCATATTCAATAATGAAAATATTGTAATTGTGATGCACGGTAAAACATCGTGATTACCTAATTACATAGCAGAAGCCCTGGAGATATAATTATAGATGAAAGATGATCGGAGATAGAAGTAATATACATAATCTGCAATTTAAAGACAACTTCTGAAGGGGAACCCCACACAGTGTCCCCAAATAACCTTGCCATGAAATAGGGAGGGAGCGTGTCTTTCCAATACATCTGCCACTTTCTGAAGACACAAGTAAACTTAGACATTTACAGAAAGGTATGAGGGATATTAAAAAGCAGCCCATTGATATGCACTGGCTAAAAGAAGCCACCGACTGATGTTCAAACATCTAGCCAATATATTTTTTTTATTTATTGCCGGTACTTATATAGCGCTGTCAATTTATGCAGCAGTTTACACATATATATATATATATATATATATATATATATATATATATTGTACATTCACATCAGTCCCTAACCCTCAAGGGATGTACAATCTAAAATCTTTAACTCACATTCATACATACACATACTAGGGCCAGTTTAGACAGGAGCCAATTAACCCACCAGCATGTCTTTGGAGTATGGGAGGAAACCCACGCAGGCACAGGGAGAACATGCAAACTCCAGGCAGGTGATGCTGTGGTTGGGATTTGAACCAATAACCCTAGTACTGCCAGGTGGAAGTGCTAACCATTCAGCCACTGTGCTGTCTATGTTATGAAAGCACTGGCCTCCACTGCCCGATGATCCTCCACTTTGACAGCTAGCAGGGGATTTTTTTCTCTTTCCCTTCCCCTGCTAGATATCAAATTTAAAAAAAAAAATGTGACTATGTGCATGCAATCTAAGGTCCCTAAATTACATTCATACATACACATACTAGGGCCAATTTAGACAGGAGCCAATTAACCTATCAGCATGTCTTTGTAGTGTGGGAGGAAGCTGGAGTACCTGGAGGAGACCCATGCAGGCACAGGGGAACATGCAAACTCCAGGCAGGTGGTGCCATGGTTGAACCAACGACCCTAGTACTGCCAGGTGGAAGTGAAGTGCAATGTCCTTCTCCTGTGTGGATATACTTGTTACAGTTTAGGCATGATGATGTACTAATGGAAATACTTCAATGTATTAAAAAGGTAGCATATCTGGTGGGACTTTAGTTTTTACATTATAGGGGCTGAAAACATGTAGATACTCCTCCTCATTAATGATGCTTCAAGAGAAGGGTACTGTTAATGCTACAGCATACAAAGGCATTATAGACAATTTAGACCTTGTGGTAACAGTTTCTACACGATCCTCTTCTTTTCCAACATGACTTGAGTCAGGCACTCAATTAGCATTAACAGAGCCCTGACGCCAAAGTGATACTAAATACTAAATACTCATGTTTTATTTTTTTTAAATAACAAACATGTTATACTCACCTGCTTTGTTCAGTGGTTTTGCACAAAGCAGCAACGACCCTCCTCTTCTTGGGTCCCCTGCCAGCGCTTCTGACTCCTTCTCCCTGAGCAGTGCCCCCATAGTAAGCCACTTGCTATGGTGGCACTGGTGTATGCTTGCTCTCTGCTTCCATAACACAGAGCAGCCTCCTCCCTGGCTGTGAATGACATGGATCCCTCTGCTGTGTCTCAGGAAATGAGGAGAGACCCAGGAGAGCCGAGGCTCCCATGCACATCACTGGACCGAGATTGACCTCAGGTAAGTATTAGGGGGTTTGAGGGGGCTGATACAAACTGAAGGTGTTTTACCTTCATGCAAAGAATGCATGAAGGTAAAAAACCTTGAGTCTTTGGAACCAACTTTTAACCTTTTGAACATTAGTGATGGGCAAATCTGCTCAGATTCAATTCACCAAAGGATCAAAGTGCACCTTAAGCTGGCCACAGATGGATAGAATCTTGGCCGGTTCAGCAGAGACCAGCCGGAATTTGATCCATTTATGGGCAGGCTGGTTGTACTGAAGTTGATCCATCGATCGACTCCAGTACAACCAGCCTTTCGGATTTTTTTTAATGTGATCACTTGTTAATATTACCAGTAAGTACATGTGAACCTTTGGTCATTCATGGATCAAAATTCAGCAAGGCCCAACCAACCCATTGGAAACCTTTCTCTTGGTCAGCGCCACTAGCTATAGCCACCTGTTCTGATCAGCATATGCTGACAATGGGTCTCCCCACAATCAGAACACAATAGCTCAGCGGGATTGATTGAATGTGTGGATTGGAGAATTGAGTAATTTTTTTTCTTTTGTTCAAAGCACTGGTTGAATGAAAAAATTGTTTGTGTATGACGAGCCTAAGTTCATTAATATCATTGACCCTTTACAAATCACAAAAGGGTATAAACACATAGTAAGTTAATGTAAAATGGATGTTGCACTGTTTTAAAATGAAAAAACAAATCATGTGCATATCAACCACAAAATAAATAAACACAAATTACATCAACCCGCTTAGCAGGTTGATAATGCACATGATTTTTTCTTCATTTTAAAACATTATCCTTCTAATACTATTTTGATGTCAAATTTATGCTTGCAGCTCACTAATATTATTTTATTCTGTGCGCAAGATATTTTTGGGATGTAAACACAAGTTGTGACACTACAACCATCAGTTTTTTTTAAATTTCTGGTACTAAAGTAAACTTTATTGTAACAGTATGTATGATGATAATGAGTACAGAAAAACTGAACAAGATGGAAATAACACCTCATCCACATAAGGCCTTTCCTTCATACATGAAATACAAGAAATTGGAAGACAACGTATTTGTCTGAATTAGTTAGGAATCTAAAGAAGCCCATGGATGATATGATTTTCTTTTCTTCCACCTGCGGAGCTATTGTAGTCTGCTGTCAACCTTTCCATTTGGCAGAACACAGTGATCACTGCTAGTGGCTACAGCAGCCAACAGTAATTGCATACAAAACATCCGACAGGCTGGTTGTACTGAAGTCAACTGATGGATCAACGTCAGTACAACCAGCCTGCCCATAGATGGATCAAATCCTGGCTGGTCCCTGTTGAACTAGTCGAGATTTGAACCATCTATGGCTGGCTTAAATGGTACAAGAAGAGAAATGTACCTAGAGCTTCACATACAGTAATTGTCCTGTGTGTTCCAGTGATAATCTGTGTAGATAAATAATGTTCATTTTAATTAGCCTGAAGAATAAGGCAAAAAAATGAGTGGGTTGTGGGTTGCTGATGTAAGGGAATACATTTTACACAAGAAGTCAGTCATAAAGATAGGTAGAATGATAGTAAACAGGAAAAAAAGAAGAAAAAAAGAAGAGAAGAGAGAAACAAGGTAGGGAAAGAAGGAGTCTACCACAGGGGTCACTCCAACTCCAAAGGGAGTAGATGAGAAGAAGGTCACCTCCAGGGGCGGACTGACAACTCATAGGGCCCCCGGGCAATAGGGGATCATAGGGCCCCTGTGTCCTCGCCCACACTCAAATCACACTCAAAAAAGCCTATGAAAGGTACCAGGGACATCTCATGGGGCCCCCTACTGACCCCGGGCCCTCGGGCAGTGCCCGAGTTCCCCAATGGTCAGTCCGCCCCTGGTCACCTCTTGGAACAGAGCTGGGCTAGTCACAGAGTAAATTGAGAAACAGGTTGGTAATCTAGCCAAGGTTGCCATATCGAGAGGAACTTATTGTCTGTTTTGCATTAAAAAAGTTGCCCTGAAGCCTCAACTTTACTTCTTCAAAGTTAAAGGCTGGCAATTTCCATGCATGAGCTATTGTTTGTTTTGTAGCCATGAAAATGTGGATGATCAGACAGTGAGAGGCCAGTGGGATGTCTTTTATTGGTCTGTGGAAACATTTTAAAATTTCAATCTTTACCTGGTCTGAGTGTTCCCATGGAAACTTCAGAAGGCTACAGTTAAGCTGCCCATAGACTGATCGAAATTTGACCGGTTTAGCAGGGATCAGCCCAATTTTGATCTGTGTGTGGCCATCCCTGTGCAACAGAAATCAATTGTTTGATCAATTTCTGAAGAAGGAACATATGGCAAAACTTTTGTTAAACCAGCCAAACAGGCTGATAACACAGGGACAATACTGAATCTTATGTAAGGTTGTTTTGCTCTTTGTGTACCCCATACTGGAGACTTTTTGTTTCTGGAACACAGAAAGTAGGTGGAATCGTCTCGTAATGAAGTGAAAATCGCATCTCTCTCAACTGCCCCTGACATCATAACTAGAGATGAGCGAATTATTCAAAAATTTGATTCGACTGATTCGGCGAATTCGTGAAAAAATTTCGATTCGAGTCGAATATATTCGCCGCGAATTTAACTTATAAAAGGGTGTTTCTAGGCTTCAGAGAGCCTTTATATTAGTGCAGAACACTGTACCTTTAATTTAAATGCCCTTGGAGTCTGCTGGGGAAGAGAAATAATACTGACAGTCAGTATGACATGCAGATGAGTGCCGTCGATCTTAGAATCACCGCACACTTCACTCATTTGGGCAGTCACGGGGCCAAAACCAGAGTGTGGAGCCACAGTGTGGCGGTGGAGGCAGCAGCAATGGGAGGCCATACAGCACCCTATGACAAAAATGGAAACCACCAGCAGTGTGAGGAGACCTGAAAGTGGCACATGGCAGAGTGTGGCGATGGAGACAGCAGCAATGGGAGGCCGTACAGGGACCCATGACACACTCTGGAGCTGGCAGCAGCATGAGGAGGCGGTACAGGGGCCCATGACAGATTACGGGCCTGGCAGCAGCATGAGAAGTCGGTACGGGGGCCCATGGCAGATTACGGGCCTGGCAGCAGCAATGGGAGGCCGTACAGGGGGACCCATGACACACTCTGGACCTGGCAGCAGCATGAGGAGGTGGTACAGGGGCCCATGACAGATTACGGGCCTGGCAGCAGCATGAGGAGTCGGTACGGGGGCCCATGACACACTCTGGACCTGGCAGCAGCATGAGGAGGCGGTACAGGGGCGCATGACAGATTACGAGCCTGGCAGCAGCAACTTGGACAGGAGGACGTTCAGCTTCTGCACCGTCGGGTGCGTGCTCGCAAACTGTTGTCTCTTGGAAACGGATTCCAAGAAAGACTGCTGACGGAATCCGTGAAGAGGAGTAGCAGGAGAAGGAGCATCTGAACGAGCGGAATATGCCAACAAGCGACAACAGGGGCCCATGACAGATTACGGGCCTGGCAGCAGCATGAGGAGTCGGTACGGGGGCCCATGGCAGATTACGGGCCTGGCAGCAGCAATGGGAGGCCCGTAATCTGCCAGCACCCTATGACAAAAAATGGAACACACCAGCAGTGTGTGAGAGACCTGAAAGTGGCACATGGCAGAGTGTGGCGATGGAGACAGCAGCAATGGGAGGCCGTACAGGGACCCATGAGAGACTCTGGACCTGGCAGCAGCATGAGGAGGCGGTACATAGGGGCCCATGGCAGATTAGGGGCCTGGAAGCAGCTATGGGAGGCCCGTAATCTGCCAGCACCCTATGACAAAAAATGGAACACACCAGCAGCAGTGTGAGGAGACCTGAAAGTGGCACATGGCATGAGAGTGTGGACCTGGCAGCAGCATGAGGAGGCGGTACAGGGGCCCATGGCAGATTAGAGGGTGAACTAGGGGCTGGCAGATTAGCAGCATATGGGAGGCCCGTAATCTGCCAGCACCCTATGACAAAAAATGGAACACACCAGCAGTGTGAGGAGACCTGAAAGTGGCACATGGCAGAGTGTGGCGATGGAGACAGCAGCAATGGGAGGCCGTACAGGGACCCATGAGAGACTCTGGACCTGGCAGCAGCATGAGGAGGCGGTATAGGGGCCCATGGCAGATTAGGGGCCTGGCAGCAGCTATGGGAGGCCCGTAATCTGCCAGCACCCTATGACAAAAAATGGAACACACCAGCAGTGTGAGGAGACCTGAAAGTGGCACATGGCATGGAGACAGCAGCAATGGGAGGCCGTGGGACCTGAGGACTGTGGAGGCAGCAGCATGAGGAGGCGGTACAGGGGCCATGGCAGATTAGGGGCCTGGCAGCAGCTATGGGAGGCCCGTAATCTGCCAGCACCCTATGGCAAAAAATGGAACACACCAGCAGTGTGTGAGGAGACCTGAAAGTGGCACATGGCAGAGTGTGGCGATGGAGACAGCAGCAATGGGAGGCCGTACAGGGACCCATGAGAGACTCTGGACCTGGCAGCAGCATGAGGAGGCGGTACATAGGGGCCCATGGCAGATTAGGGGCCTGGCAGCAGCTATGGGAGGCCCGTAATCTGCCAGCACCCTATGACAAAAAATGGAACACCAGCAGTGTGTGCAGTGGAGGAGACCTGAAAGTGGCACATGGCATGAGACAGGGACTGTGGACTGGACCTGGCAGCAGCATGAGGAGGCGGTACAGGGGCCCATGGCAGATTAGGGGGGCCTGGCAGCAGCTATGGGAGGCCCGTAATCTGCCAGCACCCTATGACAAAAAATGGAACACACCAGCAGTGTGTGAGGAGACCTGAAAGTGGCACATGGCAGAGTGTGGCGATGGAGACAGCAGCAATGGGAGGCCGTACAGGGACCCATGAGAGACTCTGGACCTGGCAGCAGCATGAGGAGGCGGTATAGGGGGCCCATGGCAGATTAGGGGCCTGGCAGCAGCTATGGGAGGCCCGTAATCTGCCAGCACCCTATGACAAAAAAATGGAACACACCAGCAGTGTGAGGAGACCTGAAAGTGGCACATGGCAGAGTGTGGCGATGGAGACAGCAGCAATGGGAGGCCGTACAGGGACCCATGAGAGACTCTGGACCTGGCAGCAGCATGAGGAGGCGGTATAGGGGCCCATGGCAGATTAGGGGCCTGGCAGCAGCTATGGGAGGCCCGTAATCTGCCAGCACCCTATGACAAAAAATGGAACACACCAGCAGTGTGAGGAGACCTGAAAGTGGCACATGGCACATGGGCATGAGACACAGCAATGTGGGACCTGAGAGACTCTGGACCTGGCAGCAGCATGAGGAGGCGGTACAGGGGCCCATGGCAGATTAGGGGCCTGGCAGCAGCTATGGGAGGCCCGTAATCTGCCAGCACCCTATGACAAAAAATGGAACACACCAGCAGTGTGAGGGAGACCTGAAAGTGGCACATGGCAGAGTGTGGCGATGGAGACAGCAGCAATGGGAGGCCGTACAGGGACCATGAGAGACTCTGGACCTGGCAGCAGCATGAGGAGGCGGTAGGGGCCCATGGCAGATTAGGGGCCTGGCAGCAGCTATGGGAGGCCCGTAATCTGCCAGCACCCTATGACAAAAAATGGAACACACCAGCAGTGTGAGGAGACCCTGAAAGTGGCACATGTTTGGGGCATGATTCATGGCGGATTTAGTCAGTTGTGTCAGGAACTGGTGGTTTGAAATCCAGACTAATCCACGCCTGATTCATTTTCACAAACGTGAGTCTCTCCACACTTTGGGTGGACAGTCGTGTCCTCCGCGGAGTTACAATACCTCCTGCCGCACTAAACACGCGCTCCGATGCCACGCTACTGGCCGGGCATGACAGCCTTTCAAGGGCAAATTCAGCTAGTTGGGGCCAAAGGTCAAGTTTCGTTGCCCAGTAGTCAAGGGGATTGTCTACCTCGGTTGGCAGGGTGCTGTCCAAGTAGGCCCAAGCCTGTTGTTTGAGGTCCTGCTCCAGGTCCACCTGATGCTGCTGCTGCTGCGGCTGGTTAGTAGTTTCCTCACTGCGCTGGTGAAGAAAGCTACTCATCATCGACTGCAGACTGAGGCAGCCGCTGCTGGTGGAGCTGCCACTGCTCCTACCACCCCACCCCTCCCCTGCTGCCATGGCAGCGGAACGCGAGCGCACAGGGCCCACAGTGTCTGAGGATGGACGTTGGCGCAGAAAGGCAGAGACCAACTGACTACATAGGTGGTTTTTATAGTACGTTATTTTGGCCTCCCTCTCAGCAGGTGTGAAAAAGGCCACCATTTTTGAACGGTAGCGAGGGTCCAACAAGGTGGACAGCCAAAAGTCATCCCTCTGTCTGATGGTTATTATTCGGCTGTCGCTACGCAAGCAAGCGAGCATGCTATGGGCCATTTGTGCCAAGGAATGCGAGGGACTCCCCTGCCTCCATCTCCACAGCATACTGCCACGGTGCGTCTGGGTCCTCTGTCTCCTCCTCCTCCTCCTCCTCACCAGATGCTCCTGCTCCTCCACTCCTGTCCGCTGAGTGGAAAAACCACCCATTTCACTCAATAATTCCTGAGCACAAATGTCCTCCTCTACCTCCTCCTCTTCTTCCTGTCCTGCCCCCACAGGGGTCATGTGGCGTTGAGATCTGTGCGCCACGTCTACCGCACCCTGACCAGCCATTGTTAACAGCATTTGTTCCAGGACGTGCAACAGAGGAATGACGTCGTTCATCCCATAGTCCTGCCGACTCACGAATAGCGTGGCCTCCTCAAAGGGCCTGAGCAAGCGGCAGGTGTCACGCATGAGCTGCCAATGGCTGACATCGAAGTTACACAGGGGAGTACCTTTATCCGCTTGTAACATCAGGAAATCGGTGATGGCCTTTCGCTGTTCGTAAAGGCGGTCTAACATGTGTAGGGTTGAATTCCACCTTGTTGCAACGTCGCAGATCAGGCGATGCTGTGGAATTCCGTTCTGCCGCTGCAGCTCAAGGAGGGTGTGCTTTGCGGTGTAGGAATGGCTGAAATGCATGCAAAGTTTACGTGACATTTTAAGGATGTCTTGCAGTGGGATGGTGGATTTTAGGAACCGCTTGACAACCAGATTGAACACGTGAGCCATGCATGGCGCATGGCACAACCTTCCTTGACGCAGAGCAGACACCATGTTCTTTCCGTTGTCGGTCAACATGGTTCCGATTTTCAGTTTGCGCGGAGACAGCCATCTGTCGATTTCTCTGTTCATTACACTGAGAAGTTCCTCCCCTGTGTGACTACGTTCGCCAAGGCATACCAGGTGCAGCACAGCGTGACACCGTTGCGCCCTGCACATGTGATATGCCGGTCGGGTAATGGGACTTGGCACGGGGGTGGCGGCTGAGGACACGGCGGAAGAAGAGGTGGTAGAGGCGGACATCTTTTGTGGACCAAGGACGTGCAAACGTGGAGGCAAAAGCGGCGTGACCTGTCCAAGTTGCTGGTGCGGCTGTGACGGCACCACGTTCACCCAGTGGGCCGTAAATGACATGTACTGTCCCTGACCGTAGTTACAGCTCCACACGTCGGCGCTGCCGTGCACTTTGGCAGAGACCGACATGCTCAAAGACTGGCCCACCATCTCTTTACATGTGAATGCAGGGCTGGCACTGCCTTTTTGGCGAAGAAATGACGGCTTGGCACTCTCCACCGCGGCGCGGCACAAGCCATCATTTCTCGGAAAGGTGCTGAGTCCACCACTTGGAAAGGGAGGGACTGCTGCAGCACCAGCAACTTGGACAGGAGGACGTTCAGCTTTTGCACCGTCGGGTGTGCGTGCTCGCAAACTGTTGTCTCTTGGAAACGGATTCCAAGAAAGACTGCTGACGGAATCCGTGAAGAGGAGTAGCAGGAGAAGGAGCATCAGAACGAGCGGAAGATGCCAACGAGCGACAACTCCCCTCAGCAGAGGTGTTGGGAGCCTTGACTGGCTGATAGAGGGCGATTGACGTCGGGTGACGGAGCAAGTAACGGAGCGGGTGATGGAGCGGGGGCTGGGGCAGGCAGAACCGCCGTATCTTTATCACGGTTTTCCCAGGCCACCAAATGGCGACGCTGCATATGCTGCCGCAACGCTGTAGTCCCAACATGGGCCCCCTGGCCACGCTTGACTTTCTGGCCACATAGTCGACATACGGCTACGTTTACTTCCTCGGGCGGCTTGACAAAAAATTGCCACACCGCCGAGTAGGAAACTTTGCCCCCGATACTCCTCACTGGCTGACTGCTGCTTCCTCCGTGCACACCGGCACCACTACTGGCCGTGGTGGTAGGCTGCAGTGGAGCTGGTGCTCTACTCCGTGGCCGTTTGCCTCCACTGACACTGCTGCGACCCTGCTGCCTCCTGGGCAACCCACCGACTGTTTTGCTCGCTGCCAAGCTGCCACCCTCTTCTCCTGATGATGCGGAAGCAATAGCCTGATGACGACGAGGCTGGCTGCCAAGTGCGATCAGCCTCATCATCATCAATTAGGGTCTCCGCCTCACTACTAGCCCCCTCGGCTGCGTGTGGGTCAGGAGACAGACCTGTCTCTAGACCGGCTACCGAGCCACTCTCCTCGCCACTACTTCTTCGCCTGGCTGCTGAAGAGGCGGATGTCTCCCCCCGTTCCTGACCGCCCTCTGTTAGCTCTTCCTCACTGTACAGTGGGGCTGAGCCCACAGCATGCGATACTTCGCTTGGTGAGGGAACACCAAAGGACAGGGGCAGGTAGAGGACACGTGATTTCAGTGGGCTTGCTCCCCGGGCCATGCCAACTAACGGTTGTGTCTGACGTACCCACCGACCGTTGGCTGTAGGTGTCAGAGGTGACCTGGGAAGAGGAAGACGACCCGAGCCAACCAATCGATGACGGCAGGGTTGTCGGTGGAGACA